TTCTGTATCAACCATAATTAAATCCAGAATCGGGTCATTTGGGTCTGTTGTTCTAATGAAGCTTGGGATGTCCTTCAATCGGATACTTTTCATTCCAGGTATCCAATGTATCACAGTATCTAAATACCCATTTGCCAAGTAACTGGCATCTGCAAATCAAATTAAAGAAGAAAAAAAAAACTAGTTAGTTAATTGATAAAATTCTATGTGAAACATCAAGTACAAGTTTTTCTTTTTCAAAACTAAGAACAGAAACAATTAAGCAGTTGGGTTTTTATCTGCATAATCATTTTTTATTAATTGTTACCTTTAAGAGGAACTAAACCCTTTTGAATGAGAGGTCCATACTGAATGTAGCCCATGAAGGCACAAGCACTGGTTGTCCAGAAAATAACACCCGGAATTCCGAGTTCTTGGGCTGCATCGAGACTGAAGTTCATGATGCCATCAGAAACTACACAAGTAACCGGAGGCGAATTCGGCGAAGAGTTGAGCTTCGAAAGAAGGCCTCTGAAGGGTTGTAAGCAGTGTTTCCTAATGGATTGGCAGAGGGACGGCATATGTTGGGCAGCAACATTAGCATCAGCTGGAGGCAGGCCATCGGGGATTGTTTCGAAACGAAAAGTGGGGAGGTCATTGAGAGAGTTGGGGCCTTGGGATTTAAGTAGGCGTTTGTGGATGAACTCAGTGTTGACAAAGGTTATATGGAAGCCTTTGAAGTGGAGGAGTTTGGCTAGTTTTAGCATTGGGTTTATGTGGCCTTGAGCTGGGAATGGCATGCATACTGCATTTGGCTTCTCTGAGGTCAAGGCATTGAAAGCCATTAACAGATTTGCCTACTTAGGCCAACAGAGCAAATTTATGATGACTAGAAAAGATAAAATTGAGTTCGAGCAGTGGGGGAGAGTGAGAGAAATGGATTATGGCTACAATAGGTTAAGAGTTTGATTCCACTCAAGGAAAAGAAAAAAAATTATTGTATCATGATTGGCTCATGTGGTGCCCTTTGAGAAAGTAGCGGTGAGTGGATTGGAAGATACTTGCTATGTTGGGATAGGGACAGGTTATTGATGCTGAAATATGAACACTATTCTTCGACCTGCAACTTTTTTTTTTAGTCCAGAAACAAACATTACAAAGAAGATATTCGATTGTATCTTTACACCATATAAAATCACAATGTCAACTATGTAAAATATCTATTGGAGAATTTCCAAACCAAACATACATAACTGAAAAAGCATGACCG